AGAGGAGCTACTTAAAGGGTAAAAAGCTAAGTAAGGCGATTAGAGAAAGAGCCTTAATGGAGCTCAGGAAGGGATCTACCCCCAACCGTTTCCCTCCCCTGTCTCTTCCACCGCAAATCCAATTTACCACTTGCAAATATGAAGCTGGAAAAAGGTAAGGACCCAGAGTTGAAAACATTTTCACTTTAATACTGAAAAAATATGCCATTATAAAATCCTCGAATAGAATTAGTAAGTTTCACGTGCTTCCTCGGTTCTTTTTTCCTACTTTATAAGTAAGATTTATACCAGCACAGAATTGCTACCATAGGATCGCAGCCTAAGCACTAGAGTGACATTAATTGGTCATGCTTAACTGCCTCAAAATCATTTTTTAAATAATTACACTGATACTATAATAGAAATCATGGGTACTTATTTTACATTCAGATGGAAGGCATTATTGGATATGTATTAAAAAAGTCCCCCTGAAAAAAATAAAATAAAATAAAACATCACCATCAAAATAAAAGAACCCAAAACAACCCCTAAAAACTTCCCTCAACAAAATACATTGTTAACTCATAAAATGGACTGATGACTAGCCATGCAAATGTCTTAAATAAAACCTTTACATTTTTTTTTCACAGTTAACGTATGCTCTGAACTGCCTACCGATCACAAATAATGGCGAAATGGCACTTTCTGATTATACTGTATTTTGTTTATAGAAAGTTTGATACGATGGAACTTATCAGGTAAGAGGGTGGGTGCTGTGAAGGAGATGCCGTCTCCAGTCGCGGGGGCGGGCAGAGTCCCTGGAGCGCGTGGATTCCATGCGAGCCATGCAGCACTTTTTGATTTTTGTCAGAAGTCAGAGTTACTTATTTACAATACATTCATGCCTTCGTGCAACTGCCCATCCCTGCGTAGCCAACAGGGAGCCATCACGGGGCTAATCCACAGGGGAAAAATAGATATCTATCTCTCTATATAGATGTAGATATATGTATATATGTATAGAACCGCGGCATCCAACCCCACAGGCCCTGGGGCCGAGGGCGAGGGCACTGTCAGTTCTTCCAGCAGGGTCGTGCTGGGCTTTCTGTCAAAAGGGGCTCTCAGCAAAGAGCGAGCTGGCTGCGCTCTCCCAGCTCGCCACAGTCTGCTCTTTGTTTCCAGGAGGGAGCTAAGTAAGGGGTCAGCCCCTTTCGGTTGTGCGAACTCACAGTTATTTATCTACTTATGCCCATTCAGGCTGATGGATTTGGGTATACGCCCCTCCAGCCCCCTGGGGGGTGCCTGCGGCGGGGGAGGACGTATCGCCTTCCCTCTGCCCTCCCCTATCGGGGTTGGGGTCTTAGTCTGAGAGCGAGTGAGAGCCACAGTCATACACTCTGTGGGCCCCATCTGCGTTGTAAGGCCCATTGTGCCAGTAGGAAGAGTCACAGACTGTCTGTAGGGAATTAATCTCGGACGCGGAGGAGTTGGCATCTCGTCTCTTGGACCGCTTTCGGTTCCTCAGGATAAACACGAGCATGCCCACCACGGTGAAGGCGGAGGTGACAAACACCAGCAGCAGTCCCGGGACCAACACCGAGATGGACACCCTGCTGGTGTCTAGGTAGGAGTTGGAGTGCGTCCCGGTCTCCGCCAACCCAGTGCTGTTTTTACTGTGCGAAGTTAACGTGGGCGAGATCCTAGCGTACAGCTGGGGGCAGATCTCGTCATTGGAGAGGAGCATGAAATCCTTTCTAAAGAAGTTCACCGGCGTCTCACACTTGAGGTCGCTCATCAGCACTTCGGAACCCAAGCGTTCTGCCCATTGCTTGAAAGGCACAATGGTGCAGGAGCACTCCCAGGGGTTTCCGTGGAGGTCTATCTGGATGATGGAGGTTAACTGGTCCAGCACCCCTGCCACAGGGAGGTACATGAAGTAATTGTTGTGCAGGCTGAGTTTAGAGAGCGAGACCCCAGCGAACACGTCCACAGGCAGGGACCTCAGCAGGTTGTTGTTGAGAATGAGGATCCTCAGTTTGGGCATGGCATTGAAAGTGCCCGGGAAGATGAGCTGGATCGCGTTGTACTCCACGTTCAGGTACTCTAGGTTTTGCAGCCCCGCGAATTTCTCCCGGGAAAGCGTGTCCAGGTAATTGCTATCCATATATAGCCACCTGAGGTCCAAAAGGTTCTTGAAAGTGTTGTTCTCTACAGTAGCGATGTTATTGTTGCCCAGATCCAACAGAATGAGGTTCTTGTAATCCACAAAGTGCGATTTTCGGATGCTGTGGATCTTGTTATCTCGTAGGAAAAGCTCCTGCACGTTAGAGAGCTTGGGCTTCAAATCAGCCAAGCTGCTCACGTTCCGGTTGTTGCAGTTCATCTTTAAACCCGACCCTGGGATGTGGTCGCAGCTGCAGCCCCCAGGGCAGGGCAAACTGTTAGCTAAGGGTTTGTTTCTGGCGCTACCCGTCGCTATCGCTGCTGTCGGTCTGATTTTGATCTGCCAGTTGCCTGGGATCTTTGTACCTCCGTTTGGAGCAGACCCTGGGGTGGCATGATCTTCTTGCCCATTTGTCTTGAAAGGGGTTGGCAGGGGGCCAGGAGCAAAGGTCTCTTCTTGGGCAGGGGGTGCCGGGAGACTAGAATCCACTCGGTTTTTCAAAGGACACAAGTCCTGTTCGGTGGTTTCATTGAGGTCTTTACCCTGCAGTCTGGTGGGGGCTTCGCAGACCACTCGGCCGATCAGGGCATTCTTGGGAATGTTTTCCAGCCATTCTTTCAGGGAGAGCAGATCACAGGTGCAGTCCCAAGGGTTATCCTCTAGGAGGATCTCCGCAATACCAGGGATTTGCTCCAAGACCTCCTCATAGGGCAGCGTTTTCAGCCTGTTACCCCGGAGGTCGAGGTGAGTGATGGGCACATACTGGAACACATTGGCAGGTAGGGTGCTGATGAGATTGTCATTTAAAATGAGCACCTCCAGCTTGTTCAAGTCCTGGAAGGCCCCCGGGTCTATATCTCGTAATAAATTAAAATCAGCCTGGAGGTATTCCAGATCATCCAGCCCCAGAAAAGTCTGCTTTCGAAAAGACTTGATCTTGTTGTTGTTGATGTGCAGCCTTTTCACCAGCTGCAGCCCCAGAAAAGCCCCCGGAACGATTTCATGCAAGCCATTGTTTTCCATGTGCAAACTAACCGCATTATAAAAGTTAGCGAACTCATTAGGGAAAAGTCGAGTGAGGGAATTGCCATGCAGAAATAAATGGTAAAACTGGGAAGTCGGGGCAGTGAAACGCTGCAGACTTGTGAAGCCTTTTTTTTCACAGTCTACGTGTAGGTCCCCTTCTATCTCATTGCAGGAACAGATCTTCTCTTTGCAAACGTCCCCTGTAACGTTTCCAGCGGCAAAACAAAGAGACGTCTCCAGCAACAGAATCCAAAGCAGCATTTTTAAAGCGAGCAATTCATCCCCGATCTCATCACAAAGTAACAGCGACCATCCTGCTCGCCACAGACACAATTCAAGTTCATTTAGTGCTCCAATGTCCGAACCCAGGAAAGGAGAAGAAAAGGGTTTGGGGGGGTGGGGGTGGATTCCTTCCTCCCTAACCCCCCCGCACTGCAATAGCCCAGACGCCAGTCAATAATTATATCCACAAACTATCCAGGCACGTAGTGCAAGGCAAGCAAAAAAAAAAAAAAAAAAAAAAAAAAAAAAAAAAAAAAAAAAAAAAAAAAAAAAAAAAAGTAGGAAAAAAACCCCACTCCCCCACAACCCTTTAAAAATAACAGCAAAAGAAGTTAAATATATATATACATATAAATTAAAAGTACACCCTTATAGAATCTCATCTACTGATCCTCACTGATCAGAAATGAAACAATGCTAGTAATTAGAAGCAAGTGCATGTTAGAGAAACAAGCAGAGGGTTTGCAGCGTAGTACAGGCGCACTGCCTGTGCATGGCTGTGCGTCGGACTGACCTTGCCTCTCTGATACAAAGCAGGGTTTTCCGCGGCTTCTGTTGTTGAGGCTGCTGGTGGAGTTCTTGCTGTGGTTGCGGGTTGACCAGAAGTCCCCCCGAGGTGCTGTCCAGTCCCCCCGGTGCTGAAATCACGCCCGACCGAAGGACTCACGCTGCCCAGCCAATGGCGCTGGAAAATTTCCGCAATCGCTGCGTTTTGTGGTTGTCCATCCTTTTCCTTTCCTCCCCTTCGGTCCTCTTAAGGCTTTTTTTTTTCTTTTTTCTTTTTTTTCTGTGCTCTCGCTCTAGCTTACTAGCTCTTCTTTTCCTGTTCTCCTTCTCTTTCTTCTGCTCTTTCGGAATTACGTGGAGGGGGGCGGAGGGCGGGGGGCGAGTTGTCTGAGGGAGGAAGAGAGCGCGAGAATGAGGGGAGGGGGGCGGAGAAGAGAGTTGCTAAGAAGCTCTGCTCGTTCCAGCCTGGTGCACTCTGAAAGATCTGACACCCTCTGCTGATCTGCAGTAGCAAAAATCCATCTGGCTAAGGAATGCCGAAAGAAAAAAAAAATCAATCCACGTACAGGGCAAGCGTTAAAAATGTGGGCATAAAAGGCTGACGATCTACATAGACGCTTATTTTAAATGGATTATTTGATTCTTTTTGCGTGCTGGAAACTTTACCCTTTCCTTTCCTTAACGAGCTCACAGCCCCCACCAGCTCCACCATTCGGAAAGGAGTGCTTTTAAAACATTTATTTCCCAATGGCTTGAATAAAATTAGTGTCAGGGTGTCAAGCGAACAGCAATTTGAGGTAATTATACTGCACGCCATTTTCATCGGTGCTTTAAATGCATTTCTTCCTTCTCTGCGGCACAGTGTTTTATGCTATTTGATGTCTTTGAAACATTTTTTTTTTGGTATGTTGAAAGTGGCTTTCGGAACATATATGTTACATAATATCTAATTGAGTATGAATTTTTTGTTGCAAGGTATATAAATTAGGCATATACTTTTTAAAACTTGCAGAAATTTAGTCAAGTTGATCATTGAGAGTTAGGTTCTTTGATGATATTTCTTGAATGTTATTTAACTCTGGAGGGTGAAACACAATGCACGCTTAAGTCCTTGATTCCAGTCCCGAAAGCTTTAACTGAGAACCGGAAAAGAAGGGAGGGGGCAGGGCAAAATCCCAAGATGATTTGTGAGTGCTGTTAAAAACCCACTGGCAGGCAGGGGCGCGCACACTACACGCACGCACACACACACACCCCATTGACAAAGTTTCCACATCAGTTTGAACTAATTTAAATATTTACAAGTAAATAACCAGTTGCATTTTGAGAGGAGGAGATAGAAATCTCTGGACTCTAAAGCTCAGCGCGAACACTATCTGCAGGTAGCCGGCAGCTCCTCCTCGAGCAGATGCTTGTTGGGTCACTGATGCTGGGGAAACACGAAGCTCAGGCTTTTTCCAGTGAAGGAAACACCACATTCCAAACTCAGAGCTTATAAAAATCCAGTAATATCACCTTCCAGGAGGCAAGGAAACGTGAACGTGCTGCTTCTGTGAAGTCTGTTTTGCTGACTTTTCCTTTCAGAGTCGACACCTTTTCCATCAATACGTCCCAAAATATTTATAGATAATTCTAAGATTTGAAATTTTTATGTCTTTTAAATAGAGTTACTGTTTGGCCCTTTCTTCACTCTATGCAGAGAGGATATGTTTACACCACTTGCCTTTTTAATTAGGTCTTTTGCAAGTTGGACAGCTGCTACAAGCCTGTTAATAATTTGTGCAAAAGAGCAAATGTTCTACGAAGTGTGTATTTTGAGAAAGATGGGGAGTAAAAATTTGGGGGAAAGGATCGGGGTTGGGAAAATTCCCAACGCTAAGGAAGGTCTTAAAGATGTTTACTTACAAGATTTTTTTTTTTTTCTGGGTCAGAAGCTAATTTCTAGGTGGGTGGGGAAAATATCTATACATAATGTTTTCATATGACAAAATATTTTTGTTATATTCCTCCGGTGAAATTCAGTGAAGGGAGGTGGGGATGAAGACATCTCAGTGTGTGTGTGTATGTGCATGCATGAATGTGTTTGTGTGTGTGTGCATGTGTGTACACTAGAGATCGTTTTTAGACATCATGATACACTTCTGAAATAACTCTGTTCTCATTTAATTTGACCCATTACCACATATAGAGAGTGAAAAAAAAGACCTTAATCAATCTGAAACCATTATGCTAAAGAAATGCTATGCAGTTGAGAACTGCAGATGTGAAGGAGTTCAACTGAAGGAAATAATTTTTCTGTCTCTTCTTAAATAGGACTCAGGTCTAAAATATCTCGGCCCAAGAAACCACTCTGACAAAGGAAACCAGCCTTATGGTGTTGGTGATTGATAGGGATAGGCAAGATTCAAGGAAAAGAGAAAAATGCTGGCTGTTTAGAAAGAACAATCATCTAAAATCCACATTTTTAAGCTTAAAAGGTTACCTGCTTTTTTCAACTTGCAGAATATTATCTTTATGTGAAGAGACTCCAAAAACATATCTAAGTTGGTTTAAATGAATTTAGATAACCTACAGTTTGTATTCAGATTTCATTCTCCTCTTCACCCTTTAAACTCTCTCTTTCTCTAATCCCTTATTTCTTCTTTCCTCTTACCACACCAATCACAATAGAAAATTTACAATTAGGATTCTCCTATTCAGGTACCTTACAACATCTTTTAAATTATATTCTCTTCGTACCTTACAACATTTTAAAAATTATATCCTCTTCGTACCTTACAACATTTTAAAAATTATATCCTCTTCAAATAATTTCTTATCTCTGCACTCTAAGAAAAAAGTGTGGTAGTTCCCAGATGAGCAACTAAGCCTGAGAAGAAAAGATTGAGATTATACCTCCTATATGAAGATCTCCAATACAAAGTTGCAAGCAAAATATAGAGGTATACATGCAAGTCTATTGAAATGCACCCTCTATAGTAGCTATCATAATTTTAAAGTATTTTCATAATAAATACATTTTAGAGACATAAAACAGTCTAGAAAACCATGTCTACAACTTCAAAGCCTAACTATTCAAGTTAAACAATAAATGTATTGGTGGAGAATAAAAATATAAGGGATTTATATGTGATCTAAACATTTCTAATACCTTAGGGGAATATTTCTTAGGCATGAATTCTTCTTAAAAGGGTTCCACACTATCTATTTGAGCTCAAGTGAACTCCTTCAGTTGCCTTGCCTCTCAACAGATAATCTCAGTAGCTGGAGATAAAGGATATTCCAGATGATGATGATGATTGATAAAATTTGTTCAGGGCTATAGTTTAATTTCCTGGCTGTGGCCAGAAAGATTTCAGTTGTGTCATTAAATGTTCACACATTTCTATTCTTCATCAAACAAGTTCTCCTCGCAAACAAGAAAAGTTGCATGTTGATTGTTCAATAAAGAATTTTTTCAGATTAAGAAGAAATTTGTCAGTTAATTATCCATTTTTTCCCAAATGGCATCAAATTTATAGATATTTACACATATGTACTACATTTTTAAAATGAAAAAGTAGAATTTATAACAAACATTTTTTGTTCAGTTTATTTAATCTTCACAATAACTTTAAAAATTATTGTTCTAATTTTTAACTGTAAAAGTGATACTTTTTTAACAAATACAAAATTACATATAGGAAGTCTATCTTTACTCTTCCCTCATCCACAACACTTTTTATTGCAGAGAACTATAGATAACTGGTTGGTTAATAGTCAAATTGATCCTATTTTATGGATGTGGAAACTGAGGCTGAGTAACACTGAGTAATTTACCAAGATTAAAAAACATCAGTTGATTTTGTTATGGTAACAAAGCTACAGACTCCTGAGCTAAGCTTTCACTCTACTAAGTATCTCTTTGTTCTTAATATATAATACAATGCCATTTATGACTCTGGTTAAGCTTTCTGTGGATCAGTTTCCTTACTAGTATATTTAACATATACTAGTATATATTATAGTTTCTGATTTTTTTGATCCCTTCACATTCTTTTTTTCTGAATCCAAAACATTTTAAAAATGATTTTACAACAGACCTAGTGTCTCTTGCTTTCCTTAGACTTTTCACATTTGAACTCAGGATAATTGTTACCATATTTAATATTTGCTATGATTTGAAACCAGTAATAAACAGTATAACCACTGGGGGAGAGAATTCATTGGTCCTGAGTTTAATCTACTACTGTCATAAGATAAAGGGGTCATTGTGAATTTTTTCATCTTGAGATAATAATTGTAAACTACAAGAGGGTTACAAATCAATTGTACCTATAAACAAATATGCTTAGTAAGATTCTCACACATATTTTCATATTTTATTTTTGTAGATTGCAACATTCTAGGAATTGGGTGCTAAGATAATGAAAATATTACACAATTACTGAAGGTGAAGTTAATACAATATTTTTACAATATTTCTTTAATAGTATATCACTTTTTATAACTTAGCAACTTTTATTTCTCATCAAAGAAATAGCAATCTCAGTAAAACACGTCAAAATGCACATACCGTTTTCTTTTGTGGCTTAAAGTATCACTGTCCTGTGTTCACATCACTTTATGTTTTTTATTATTTTGGGCCATAGGTTTGGCTATTTGGAGTAAAACTGAGTTTCTCATATAGTCTCATTTTTGTAATAAATCTCATATTGGGCTTATCGGAAAGAATATTGATCAAAATATAATTTTATATATTCAGAAATTCTGATTTATTATTTTTGTTATTTAACATGAATAAGGCAACCAAAGTTTTGCCCAGTAAGGGTAATACTCTTAGCTATATATCACACTGTACTACATACACTACAAGTATAAGAAGGATCTATATTTCCACAATTGTTTATTATATTAATTGATGCTTAAGTATATATTTGTTGAGCACTTGTTTTACTCTTTTCTATATGTTCACAAGACCTTGCAGATAATCACACAGAGTAGAAAAAGTCTGTGTTTCCTATAAAGTATGTATTATATTGTAAGATAATGAAATACATGTTACTTATATAGGTTTTAGGAAACAGAAACCAACAAAAAAAGTTGAAATCCACAGAGATTACTGCTGTAAAAATATACATATACTTTTAACATGCTTTTTGTACTTAACATTTATTTGTGAAAATTTTTAATGTTATTAAACATGTTCTACTATTAGAGACTTAATTCCTTGT